TCCTCGCGATTGAATATAATCTCCGTTCTTCCTTGGAGGGATATACGATGCTTCTGTTGCTTCGCGCTGTCGCGCTTATCGTCGTGAACGTCATTGAACGTTAGTCACGCGTCAGTTTGCGCAAGTGTAAAGATAACGAAGAACAACAACGAGCAAGCGTCGCTTCGAAAAACTACGAAGCTACGAAGTATTTCCTAATATGGTGAAATCGTTTCTCAATTCGAACGAAACACCCGCCTTGTATTGTAAGTTATAAATTAGACAAACATGGACGTATAATTTAATTTACAAGTTACAAATTATGCGAGGGAGAGAGGAAGCGTGAAAGCTGGCGAACGAAACTGACTAACTCTTGGCTTGTCGTGTTCGCAGAATTTCCGGGAACACCGGATCGACGGGGCAGCGTTGCCCCTGCTGTCGGAGGACCACTTGACCGGGCCGATGGGCATGAAGCTGGGCCCGGCGTTGAAGCTTCGCGCGCTGCTGGCCCGAAAGCTGGGCGCTTGCACCGTCTGTTTGCACTGCGCGCACTGCCATCAGACGCCTTTGCCGGCGTTGAACGCGGCCGCGGCCGTGGCAACCGCGTCCCAGCAGCAACACCAGCAGCAACCGCAGCAACAACAGTTGCCTGGAAGGCGGCCGAGCAGCACGGGGAACTGACAAACAATGGCGGAGGCTCCTCTGGGCCCGGAGGGCACGCTCGCGCCCTCCGCCGATCCGAACAGGGCCCTCAGGATAGAACGGCGCGTATCACGTCCCGTACGCAAGCCGGAAGTGGTCTTCAAGAAGCCCATCAAACAGTGACACTGCGGACACTGTGCAAGTTGATTTTCGGAGGCTCCGCCGCCTGTCCTTCGCGTTGCGTATTCCCTTCCTGGACGTTCTACAACGAGAACACAGTTTCACATGCAGTACCTGGGGAAAAAAAAAGAAAAAAAAAAAGAAAAAAAAAAAGAAGAACAAACGACTCCGTCTCGGAGGCAAAATTTGCAATTTGCTACGTTATTGTACTTACTTACTTACTTACTTACTTACTTTACTTACTTACTTACTTACTTACTTACTTACTTACTTACTTACTTACTTAC